ACCATCTTCAGCTGCTTCAATGACCTTCGCTCCATCATAAGGTCAAAAGTGGGGATGTTCGCAGATGATTGCACTATGTTCAGCACCATTCGTGACTCCCCAGATAATGAAGCAGTCCATGTTCAAATGCAACAAGATCTGGACAATATCCAGGCTTGGGCTGACAAGTGACAAGTAACATTCGTACCACATAAATGCCAGGCTATGACCATCATCAATAAGAGACATTCAACAGTGTTACCATCACTGAATCCCCCGCTATCAACGTCCTGGGGTTATCATGACCAGAAACTCAACGAGACTCACCACATAAACAGCGGCTACAAAAGAAGGTCAGAAGCTCGGAATACTGGGCAAGTAACTCACCTCCTGACTCCTCAAAGCCTGTCCACCATCCACAAGGCACAAGTCAGGAGTGTGTGGAATACTCTCCACTTGCCTGGATGAGTGTGGCCCCAACAACACTCAAGAAGCTTGACACCATCCAGGACAAAGCAGTCCGCTTGATTGGCACTACATCCACAAGCATTCACTCCCTCCACCACCAACACTCAGTAGCAGCAGTATGTACTATCTACAAGATGTACTGCAGAAATTCACCAAAGATCCTCCGATAGCACTTTCCAAACCCACGACCACTTCCAACTAGAAGGACAAGGGCAGCCCACATCCCACAAATGAATAGGAAAAAAATACACGTAAATACTGCTTGTGCTATTGTTGGTTTCAACCCCCACTCTCTCAGCTGCACTGAAGTATTAATATTTGCAGGCTTCTTCCAAACTGCTCAGAGCTTCCCAGAATGCACAGCCAGCAATCTTCCCACTTTCTTAGCTCCCCAGAAATAATTCTGAGTCCTGACTCCAACACTGCCTACTAATTCCTTGAACTTCTTCCTGGATTTGTTTCAACAGCAGAACCATCCAACTGCCTTGCCAGCAGTACAGCTAAAACACCACAGTCCTAAAAATGGAGTAGACATCTCTTCCCTTCATCAAAATGTGTCCTTCAAATTCATCAACTCTTCTTGTGAGGCCCCAACTATGATCCATTGCAAACCTCAGAATAAGCTCCAGTTCTATTGCTGGGCAGACCAGTGCCACTTAAACCTTGAAAGAGAGTGTGCTCATAATATTACAATTTAACAGAAGATTTACTTATTCAGTACATGTAGTAGAACAGACTATTCTCCCTAAATTGGCTCCTCCTGTAATATATATTTTATGGAATACAGAAGTTGCAATGAACAAAGTAAACTGCTCTGGATAGCTGGATAATCTGTATGTTATCATGCAAAAACTTAAATAGCACAAATACTTTTTCTGAAAGCACATTTTTAAACAAGTTAAATAGGTCTTTCCCATACCTATATTACCATCTCTAGACATGTTGGGCTTAATATACTTCAATATTTAAATGCTATCATAAATATTTCTTTTCTTCAATTTGTTCACATGGTAAATACAAATAATACATTTTTGCTAACATAAAGGGACAAACAACGAAGTACAGCCTTTGGAGTTATCTCCAAACATGCATTAAGTTGGGTGACTCAGCCCTGAAGATTACAATCACGATAATATGACTGTATATACCATAATAATGAGCAAGCGTGCTTAGAAAATGCTTTAGTTCAGTCATAATATTTTTCAATTATTTCTTTCACTTCAAATTTGTGTGTTACAAGAAGCATTCTCTAGACATTTCACATCCAAGTATTCACTGAAAAATTAATATTCTAAGATAACATTTTAGAGATAGTTTGGAAAATTGAAGCTAAAGTATTTGCTGGCACTGTACAAATCTGCTGTTTATTGGACTGAACAGGATGGGATTGAGGGCAAGGTGGAACAGACTGTGAGTGTAACAAAGCAAAAGACAAAGGGAAGTGATAATGGTAGCAAATGAATGAGAGTTATAAAATGATTGTGAAAATAAAGATGCAAAAATGAGAACAAAGGCTGCTGAGAGCAAAGTGAACAAGATGAGGCTGAAGGAGGGTCAGTGGCTTTAACAAAATTGGAGTACAGACACCATACTCTGAACTCAATTTTGAGTTCTCAAACTGTAAAGTGTTGCTCCTCCAGATTGCATTCAGCTTTGTTGGAACACTGTAGCAGGCCTTGAACAGAAAGGTTAGCATAAGAGCAGGGGGATTTGTTGAAATGGCAAGCAACTGGAAGGCGCGGATCATCCAATGGACAGAGTAGAGATGTTTTGCAAAATGATCACAGTTGGCACTTGGGCTCACAAGTATAAAGGCAAGCGCATTGTCAATAGCGAAAGCAGTCGACTAAATTGAAAGTACAAGTAAAATGTTGCCTCATCTGGAAGATGTGTTTCGGGCCTTGCAAGGGGAGAAAGGAGGTGAATGGGCAAGGGTTACACTTTTTGCAATTGTATGGGAAGGTGCTTTGGAGGAGTGAGGTTGTGTTAGGAGTGACAGAGGAGCGCAGCAGGGTGTCACAGAGGGAATGGTCCCTGGAGAATGCCAACAGTGGAGAGGAAGAGGATGTGTTTAGTGGTGGTATCTTGCTACAGGTGGTGGAAATATCAAACTATGAACGTGAAGGCTGGTCAGATAGAGGGTCAGGACGTGGATCCCTATCATTGTTCTTGGATGGACGACAGAAATGCGAAAAGTAGGTCGAACATGGTTGAGGAATTCTCAGTTGGGGAAGGAGGACGACATACTGAAGGCAATCCAGTGAAAAGTGGCATCTTCGAATGGATGTGACAGAGATGGAGAAACTGGGAGAACAGAATGGAGACCTTGCAAGAAGCAGGATGAGAGAAGTGGACATAACTGTGGAAGTTGATGGGTTTGTAATGGATATTGGTAGACAGCCTATCCTCAGAAATAAAAACAATGAAGTTAAAAGAAGGAAGAGAGGAGGTATACATAGACCAGGTAATGGCGAAAGATAGAAACTGGCAGAATAAATTCTGAACTAAGATGCCAATATTATAGCTGTATTGGCTTGAGTGTGGCAGGTTCTGACATAAAATCTTCAGTACTATTGCCAGGATTTTATCAGCATCCATAGCCTTTTCAATATCCAGTATCTTCAGATGATTCTTAAAATCACATGGAGTGAACGGAGTTGAATGAAGACTGGCATGTGATAAAGTGAATCTCTGGAGGAGGCAGAAATTGATCATCCTATCAACATCTCTGGATGAAGAATACTGCAAATGTTTCAGCCTGATCTTTTGCTGAGCTCTCCCATCCTAAAGGGTAGATATTTGTGGATCTGCAGTCACAATTAGATGTGACAGGACTGCAAACCTTAGATAGGATCTGCTGCTTATAGAATCACTTTGTCCTGTCCAAGACTTGCCACTGATGGTGTTTGGTACACAAGCAGCCCAGGTTCACCAGGTTGACAGTTCATTTTTAGGTACATCTGGTGCTGGGTCCTGATAATGTCGTCCTTTTAATTGTACCAGGGTGGATCCTCTGATTTGATGGTAATGGTGGAATGGGGGATACACTGGACCATGCAGATTGTGGAGTACAATTCTAATGCTGTTGATGGTCCACAGCATCTCGTGGATGTCTACACTGGAGGTGCTAGCTTGGTTCAAAATCTTTCTCACCTTAGCACAGTGGCAGAGCCATATAACAAAGTTCAGGGATCTCCAATGCAAATACAGGACTTCATCGCCACAACGACTGTGCAGTCACCCCTTCTACCAAGGCAAATTGGGTGAAGATGAGGTCAAGTATGTTTTTCCCCCTCTTGGTTTCTTCTTTACATGTTATAGTCTTATGTCTGACAGGACTTAAACAATTCAGTCAATAGTAGGGCTGCCAAGCCACTCTTGGTGATGGACACTGAGGTCCTCCATCCAGACTACATTCTGTACCCTTGCCACACTCAGTGCTTCCTTCCAGTGGCATTCAACATGGAGAGGTACTGTTTTATTAAGCTGAGTGGGGAGGGGAACAACAGCATCAGAAGGTTTCCTTATCCATGTTTAACCTGATGCCATCTGACTTCATAGGAGGGGAAAGCTCTCTCCCAACTGCAAAACACTGTGCTGCCACAGGGATAGTGACGGTGTTGTCTGGGACACAGTTGGTAGGGTAAACAAGTACGAATGTCAGACTGTGGCTTGACTAGTCTTCAAGACTGCACTCTCAATTTTGGCATTTGCCCCCAGATGTTATGAAGGAGGACTTTACAGGAATTAACTTGCCATCATACTTTCTGGTGCCTAAATTGATGCCCGGTGGTCTGTCCAGTCTTTTTTGAGACTTTTTGACATTTAATACACTAATTAAGCTGGCCAGGCCATTTCAGAGGGTAGTTAAGAGTCAAAACCATTGCTGTAGATCTGGATTCACATGTAGACCAGACCAGGTGAGGACAACGTATTTCCTTCCCCAAAAGTGAACCAAATGGGCTTTTACAATAATGTACAATTGGTTTCATGATCATCATTAGACTTCTTCTTCTGCCTTGATACATGCCATGGTGGGATTTGAACGCT